TGTGTGTGTCTTCGCGTCCAAGCGTCTGCAGTCGGTGCACTGGAATGTGTGTGTATAGGAGCTGCCCTCCGTGTGCCTGTGTGCGCGTTTGTGTACACGTCCGAACATGTGCAAGGGGTGTTCAAGAATGTGTTAGTGTAAATAGTAATATGAGCTTCCCTCCGTGTGCCTGTGGGTGTGTGCGTACACGTCCAAAAGTGTGCAATGGATGTGCTGGACTATATGTGTATGTGTGTGTGCACATCCGGAAACGTGCAAGGGAGTGTACAGGAATGTGTGTGAGTGTATATATAATAATATGAGCTTCCTTCCGTGTGCCTCTGTGTATGTGTGCGCGTGTACACATCCAAAAGTGTGCAAAAGATTACTGGAATGTGTGTGTGTGTGTGTGTTCACATCCGACCATGTGAAAGGGAGTGTACAGGAATGGGTGTGTGAGTGTAAATAATAATATGAGTTGCCCTCCGCGTGCCTGTGTGTGTGTGTGTGTGTGTGTGTGTGTGTGTACACGTCCGAATGTGTGCAATGGAGGTCCTGGAGTGTGTGTGTGTAGTAATCCATGTGCCTGTGCGTGGAGGAGCAGGGAGCCGCGCGTGGCCTCGCGCGTGTGGCCCGTCCCGGGACCGCAGGTCCCCGCAGAGCCGCCGCCGCTGCAGGTTTCCCCCCTTTCTCCATTCAGTCCCCGGCGCTGCCTCCCCATTGGGCGCCGGGCCGGGGCGGGGCGGGGCGTCGGAGCCTGCGGAGAGGGAGAGGGGGAGAAAAAAAGGCGAGCTGTAAGTGCGTAAAAAAGTTCCTGCCTCGGTGACGGATGCTCAAAAGTTCAGAAGTTTTTTCCAATGCTTCCCCGAGCAGCCTGCGACTGAGAGAGAGACTGAAAAGAGAGGGAGAGAGAGGGAGAGAGAGAGGGAGAGTTCTCCCGGGGAGATCAGGAAGGTGGATATTCTTTTTTTCTTCTCCCTTAAGAAAAGAAAAAAGCAAGCACCCACCCCTTTTGCTTTTGTCCCCTCCTTTGCAGACAGCTCGTGGCAGATCCCCGCGGAACCGGGCGCTGGGAGTGCGGGAGCCTCCTCGCCCAGGCGCTGTTTTGTTTGGTGCTGTGTTTTTGTTGTTGTTTTTGCTGCTTTTTGTGTTTTTTGTTGTTGTTTTTTCTCCTCTCCGCCGAGTGCATCTCTCTCCAGACCGAGCCGCCGCTCTATATGATCCTTGCGATTGTGATTTCTATCCCTCTGCTTTTTGATCGCTGCGCCTGGGAGTTGCTTTCTCCGCCGCGGCTCCGAGGGCCCGGCCCGGCTGCTTTTTTGGCCCCGGCCGCTCGCCTCGTCCCCCGCGGCGCGGGGCCGCCCTCGCCGGCGCGG